TCGATTGGGCTGAAATTTTTTTCTAAGATAGTCCCAACATGTAGGAACAACATATTAAAAATTCAGAATGGCATATTTTTTAGATTTTTTATAAAAAAATCACAAAGGTAAAAAAACGTGAATTTTTCGTATTTTGCCAATGGTCGGATATTGATTTTGAGAATTTTTAAGAAATTTTTTGAAAATTTAGAAATGTTTTGTCAATAAATAAATAAATTTACCCATTTTAGATACGTACTTCCTCAAAATAAATTTTTGATCATGGGCAAAATGCGAAAAATTCACGTTTTTTTACCTTTGTGATTTTTTTATAAAAAATCTAAAATATATGCCATTCTGAATTTTTAATATGTTGTTCCTACATGTTGGGACTATCTTAGAAAAAAATTTCAGCCCAATCGAAGGTGGCATATTTTTGCTAGAATTTTTTTTGTACTTGTGACCCCTGAAAAATGACCTTGACCTTTGACCTCTGGATTATTTGACCCCTCAGGATTGAAGAGGAGGTAAAAAGAAAATTTTTGGTGCTAGCCGCATTTCTGTATCTCAATTAGAACCCGAGATATTCCATTTTTAAGTTGAAACTACAGTAGCGTTTTTCCGAGAAAGCTTTTGACTTTTCCGAGTTTTTTCCACGCCAAAATCCGTCAAATTTTGTGTTCTTTTCACCTGATTTTTTGCAAATAAATCCACGACCCCTTGCCAACCGACCTGTGCTTTGGCTTGAAAGGTGTCCCCTGCTCTTGTAATACATTTTACGCCCTTTCCCGCGAATAAAGCACCTCATATAATGCGTTATTTTCCGCCTAATCTTAAACTTTAACAACGGACAAACGAGCTAAAAAAAATCACAAAAATAGTGCATTGAAACTATGAATCTATTAAAAAAATAACTAATTTATAAAAATTAAAAATAAAGCGTATGAAACAATACATAGTAAATTAATTATTATTCTGAATAAATTCTTATTTTTAAATTATTTTATTTTTGTTAAATTTACAATTAATTAATATAATATTTATTTTTATTTTGCTACTTTTTATATCATATTGTTTATTGTATTGTTTTTCATATTAAAATAAATTTTGATTCTCTTTATTACATGATTTACGACTGGTACAAGCATCAATCAACTTAAATAAATAACATATTTCTGCCCAATTGTCGGCCAAGATAATTAGTTTCATTGGCAGATCAATAATAAATATAATTTAATAAGCATTTCTTATTATCGCTTATTATTTCATGTCTGTTATCCTTTTTAAATTATTATCATGCAATAAATAAAAATTTTTGTTTTCCATGATAAAGACTAAGAATGATAAATTTAATTTTAATTAATTCCAAATAAACCAATATTAAGTAGAGACTTAACCACTAATTTTAGTTAGTTTAAATTTACTTATCAATTTTATATAAGATCAGACTGCCAAACAAATTTATTTAAATTTTGAGCTATGTGTGCTTTGTGGCAACAAAACGGCAACCGTGCATCACAGTCGCTTCCGTCAAGCGAGAAATTAACTGAAATAATTCCACGCCACAGTCTGCACTCTGACTTTGCAAACAAACACACGGTTCGTGCCCTTTGCAGCTTTCAGTCGCCAAACACGGTCAAAATCCTCGCTCGCTCGCCCGCCCCAGCCAATTAATTAAAAAGCAAATCCATTATTCAGGACAGACGCGGCTGATTGTTTCCAAAACGCCAATTAGCGCTTCCCCGCCCGAACATGGCTGACCCAAAGTCCTGTGCAGGCGCTACATTAATTATAATTATCACCTTGTCAGCCGTGAGTGATGTACGACCGCACGCGAAAATCGATGCACCACTCGCTTGGCACAAATGCGTATACGTGCGATGAAAAGGGTTAAATATTTCACAGGGTGCGAAAATTTCCAGTTAATTATCCACGAATGCTGATTATTACATTATGAATTTCACGCGTCATTTTTTTATGAAAGTAAACGGCAAAGCGCTTTTCGTGTCAATTATTTAATGCTTCATTAATTATTAAAAAAAAATTCAGAAATCAATAAGGTCATTTTCAAAATTTTTGAAACTTTTCACACATAGCAAAAGATTATCTTAAAACTTAAGTTCAAATCACAATATAAGTCTTTTTTAAACGTAAAACCCGAATGAAATAAGAAATTATTTCTGATGTATACTGTTCAATGTAACTTTGACGATTAATGACAGTTGGAAATCTTGCTAGAATTTTTTATTTTAGTTTTGAAGTTTGAATTTAAATTTAGGTGGAAAATTATCCTCTCCCAAAACATTGCTGCTAAATTAAATCCATAGATATGAATTTTATATTTCAATGAAAAATATGTCCAATCAACGCTTTTATTTTCCGTGAGCAGCCACTCGATTGGCCTAGATTAATAAAATTGGAATGCCCAAGCCGCCTACGCTTCCTAAACGCTTTTTCGCTGAAATCCCCAGGGCCCTCTGGTACAAGCGTGCTACCTGGCCTCCAACAAAAGAGGCCCGTATTAGCAACAATAATAGCAGGCCACATTGCAAACAGAAGAGTCGTAAATGTCAAGGGTCACTTTGCGGCCCTATCAGCAAAATTCGTCACGAATGAAAAATTTTCTGAAATTCCGGTGCAGAAATTTATTTTAATTGAAATAAAAAAACTCTTTCTTACTTTAATTGATCCTTTGATGCGAAAATTCCAATTCTCTGCCAAGACCTAAGTCTAAATTGCCTTTCTTGGTGGAAAATAATAAAAGAGGATTTTTTTCCTGTTGGCCCCGAGCTGCAGAGGTGCGTCGTAGGAGAGCCATAAAATGATACTCAAATAACGTGCACGGCAGGGGCGAATTTTTTTACGTGCGTCGCTGCAATAGGTCATTTTCTCGCCTGCTTTTTTACGAGCGCATCTAATAAAAGTGGAAGAGGCAAACCGCGCGCGCTCATTAAACTTGACCCCATCTCTCGGGCCAATCGCATTTGGCAAATTGGCGCGCGCGTGCTGTCGACGCGCATTTGATTAAGCCACATCCGACTCTGGATTTATTCTCCAACTTATTTGCAGCGGATTCGCCCTGCTCTCCCGGCGACCAGATCTGCATATCGGCCAATTTTACGGCTCGCTATTCCACTTGATTCGACGCCATCATAAAGTTTGATGGGCATATAGATTGATATGAACGCTAAATTTGTCTGTAAAACTAGAATTGCGAGTTCGATTCACTCACAGCAGCAAATGCGATTGCGCTAGATTGCTTCAGGGAATTATTATTTATTTTGAGCTTGTAAATATCACTCGTCGGACAACTTTATAGTCAGGTAAATTAGCGAAAATCAAGTGGTATACCTGGAAAATTTCAATTAATTTCAAGTTGTGGGGGCTTATTTCACCATGGGACTATCAATAATTATCGGTGAGCAACTTATTTCAAATAATAACTAGTAATATTTGATTATTAAAATTTTTTACAATAATAGATAGATTATAATGTTAATGCAAACAAGATAAGGTGAAATCATGTCATGTCCATAACATCTTTGCCAGAGTGAAGCTGAGGGAGTGTCAAAGCTACCCTAAAAACTTGATGTAAGAGACGTGCGAAGTTTAATAATGTAAATTGTGGATTTATTTTTAATTTATTACCATATATTATTATTTTAAATTTATATAATTTAAATTTCTATTAATATGAATAAATATTAATTTCTTCTAAAAATAAATTATATTTTACGCAAAAAAATAGTCAGAAATTTCAATTATGATTTATGTTAAAAAAAACTTTCATTTGCCATTAGCAACAGTTAAATCTCATTTATATTCGTTCTCGTTGATAAATTTAACGCCACATTCAAAACGTTGCCATTATCACTAAAAGTGCCCATTTGGCGACGAAACGACTTAATCCAAAATTAACTGGTGTGCGATTAATTTAGATTGATCATGACAATGGCCGCGTTCCACTTTGGAGAAGCGACACTACTCGTGCGGTCGTTCGCCGAATCGAGAGCTACTTTGTATTAACGAGAAACTTTTACGGCGCTCCGGAGAGAACCGGCGGAATAATGTGGCTCCACGGGAATTGTGCTGTTCGCGACATTGTGTGCAGGTAGAGAAGATTTAACTTGTCGCGAGCGAAGCAGACATCCCGTCGTCGCCGCATAAATTATCGACACAAAAGCAGCGAAAGACTTATTTGCTATTAATGTTAAAGAGGAACTGCTCCAAAAGTGCCAAATTTCTTGACACAAATAATTGTTAAAATAATTGTTTGTATAAACTAGAGGTTCCAATACCGATAATTTGAAATCGATTTCGTTAAAATTTAGTTAATTATAATCGCGCCTAATTTGGAATGGTTTAGAAAAAAATCATATTAGTATCAAAAGCAACGGAATTTTCAAAACAATACTGTGCATATTTATGACTTATGATTATTGCGCCTATCCAATGATTTCTCTGCTAAGAAACGTGCTCTTAAAAGTGATATAATAGTAAACTAAATTTATTTTTGCTTACAATCAGAAAATCGTTATGTATTATTAATTACAAATTGTAGTTATTGCTTTTCAAGCTGAACAAATTAATCCCGACCGCAACACGCTCGTCAGCACTGTAAGGCAGGTTGCATATCCCGGCAAAGTTCGTGTTTGGTTGGAGGAATGCCTGTCAGAACGAAAATGGGTTAAAGCAAGCCTTGATTATCAGCGAAGTAATAATGGAATTAATTTATATCTTAACTTTTTAAACTCTCATTTTAAGTGGTTGCTTATTAATTATTATATTCAAACTCTTCCTGAACTTTTTTCTTCTGTAAAATTTTTCCTCTCAAATAACAAAATGAACATCCACGCTTGCCGTCCCTGTCAAAGGAAATTTGCTTCGAGCTCATTCCGTCTTGAAAGCTCATCATGGGAAAAGTTTTCGTCGCTTGGCACATGTTTCTCGCTCTCTCCGTTGGTAGCCCTTGGGCAATCTTTGCGTTTTCCTTATCGTTATGACGGCGGAATCTTACTGACCTTTGTGAGCTGATATTGTCGTGGGTGGAGGGCAGGGCTGCTGGGGTGCTGGCCCTCCGCAGCTGGGGACACGCGGTTGGGCTGCCTCTGTCCCCGCTGGGCGGCAGAGACCGCGGCGAAGGGTTGTCTACGGCACTCGTGCCGCCGTTTCTGCATCTGTAAACACACAAAAAACAACATAAATTAGATTTTCAACAAGTGGTGTCAGTTGGATACGCAAATACTAGTCAAATGATCGTGGCATTGAATTATGGCTGGTAAAAAAATTTACAAAGAAAATGTATTTCAAAATCTTGTCTTTTTTCTTCTCTTAAATCAAATTTATTGTTATTTATTCTTCTCGGTCAATACAGAAAATTTTAAATTGGAAAGAGAAGAAAAGGTTCACAACTAGCAGATGTCAGATGTCTGCTAAAACGCCCGAAATCTAAAGAGACTCGGCCGCCGCGGTGAACCCACACTATCGTAAAAAAGAACAATATCACAAACACCTCAAAATCTTTAAAATTATTCCGTTTTTGAAATTTATACACATTTTTTAACAGCATTTTGTTTTTTCCTCTGTTTTTTAAGAAAAGAATTTGGTCTAAAAATACAAACTCTGATGTTGACTAAACCATGATTTCAATTTATTTAAAGGTAGTTTAATTTATTTTGTTTCAATAATCAGAACGATCCAAAAGCTTAACTAATTTAGGCCGATTTTTGGCTAATTTATGCTTCCACTTTTAATCGCATGGCGGGTTAAGTTTTCCCGGATTGCTCCAAATAAATAAATATAATTTTTTTCCAAGATTAAGGAATTTCCGTATTGGAATACCAATTAATTCGTTAATAGCTTTGCCATAACATGGGGCGTGTTTACTCCGATGGGCATTTAATTATCTCTGGTGCTAATGAGTGCCTTTGACTATTTTTCCCGCGACCGTTTTCTTATCAAGCTGCCAGGCGCAATAACAATATCACGACCATTAGCAGACGAGAAAAATCAACTGCAGACGACGTGCGGTGACTTTCTTGTGCTCTTTTCCACCCTCGTGACGTCAATTCTTTTTGGCCATCATCCCCGTGGGCATCCTTTCTTAATTTATTATTTCCCCGGTCTCGCCACCATTGTTTTCGCAGCGCACACTTATTATGTGCCAGCACATGAGATTTATCTTTTGCCGACCCGCTCAATTGCAGGCGGGCTTTTTTCGTCCTCTCCAGATTCTACTTGAGACAAACACGCTCATTTGTTTCTTTTTGCAGACTAAGAAAGCGAGATTTTTCTTTATACCTTTTTTACTTCCCACGTCCTTAGCGCCAAATTGCGTTTTATTTCTGACTCAAGGTAGCTTTATCATTGGAAAATAAAAATATAAACGTGAAATTATATTGCATTATACTGGTTTTGTGGTAATATCCTAATGGAACAAATAAATTCTAATCTGAAGGTACATAAATGTTTTTCTTTTTTCAATCATAAGAAAAACTAAAAATCGTGACGGTTTTCAAAATTCATTAAAACTGTTTAAAAGAAATAATATGGCTTATTGCAATTACAGTTTATGGGAGTGGAGAATAAAACATAAAATTAAAGAATGCGTGTAAATTACAAAATAATGAAAATTTACAAAATTATTTTAATAGCGAAGCTATTTATTTATTGAGTAGAAAGAAGGAATTAAACTTATCCCGTACAGTCGCTTTTTGGGTAAAGTAATTTATTGCTACCGTTTTCCCCAACCTAAAATAATAATAGACAAAAAATAAATATGAAATAAATGGTGCCTTCTGCCTTTTAAATTGAAAAAGGCCCTAGTATAAGAGCTTGAAAATTTTTAAATCTAAAAGTGCTATAAAAAGGTAATTATTTTACTTTTTCGTCTATCTTTGCGACATAGAGTTTCATTTGTAATGAATAGCCAAAGGCAATTTCCGCGAATTCCACCGCGCTTTCTTTCTTTCTTTTGTTATTCAGAGGCTGAAATACAATTAGCTGTACCAGCTCGTGTTTTACCTAATTAGTACGCTTACATTTTACAAGGATCTGCCTTTGTTATTTCTGGCACAGGGAAAACCTCCTGAGCTTTAATGTCATTAAATTACCGTTTGTTTTTCGTTCAAGTCTCGCAAAATATTTCGTTGCGAGAGAAAATTTGTATGAGTAGAAAGAGATCAAATTTCGAGCGGTCAACGAATCTGAATAAAAAGAAGAAAAATAGGCGGCCATGTTATTTTTCACCCATCCTGATTGAGTCATTTCAGGGGGCTCGTCGACAAAAGCGGCCGGCGTTGCTAAAAGCGCCAAGCATCAGGTGATGTGTAAAAAATTGTGCTCTGCCTGCATATATCGATTTTCGCCCGTCGTTTTATGGCAGCGGCTTTCGTTTCCATCTACCTGCCAGCCGCTTTTTGTGCTCCTCTCTCGCTCTCGGCTGCTCACTTTCGCGTGTGTCGAAATTGAAAAATTACTCGGGCAGTGGAAAGTGCCAAACGAAAAAATAAAACAAACTCGGAGAGTCAAAGGCGACCCATCAAAAAACACGCACTTCCATCTAAAAAAGCCTCTCCGTTTTCACTGGGCCATTAAAAATAATAAAAATGCTATGGTGATTGTAGAATATATTTAAAAATATAAAAATCATTTTTGACCTTTTGATATGATAAATATAAAAATTTATAATTTTTATTACAAGAGCGAAGGTTGAGATTCTTACTTCTTGCCTAATAACTTCATTGATCACAAATTGTTTTCTTAATCAAGCAACTTGATTGTTAAATATTATGATATTATTTTAACATTAAATTAAATTACTTATTAATAATTTAGTATGCCGTAAAAAATCAAACTGCACTAAATTATGCCTGCACTTTTTTTTGTAAAACTCCTAACATTTTCTGCTTTATTTTTATATTTATTTAAAAAATTTTAATTTTGTATCAAATTTTAAATTTTCATGTAGAACTGTAATCAATTTTAGTGAAAATTGCTTAGTGTAATTATTATGACTGTAACTAAAATTAATTAACTAATGTGCATTTTTGAACACAGAAATTTTAATTTGCTTGTAATGCCTCTTGCATGTAGAAAATTTCAAAATTTGATTAAAACCATCAATATTTATTGAAAAAAATCTTTAACCTTTGCGCAATTGCCAAAATTTTTGTTTGTTGAAAAGCAACATAAATAAAGCAAACCAAGGCAAAATGTTTTGATGTTCCCGACTACATATTTATAGTAAAATTCTCGCAATTGGTGACGCCATTTGGCCAAGCAATTTTTTTTTTCAGAATTACAGGAATAGATTTGAGGAAAAATTTAATCCATGTAGATCACTCTCTCATAATTTACTAAATAATTTATACACTTTTCTCCCTCTTTCCACCATATGTGCTCGATTTTGCGCCACTTTTGTCCTCCAAAACTTTGCGCAACTTTTGCAGCACTGCCCCCAGAGAATTGCCGCTGTTGACTTTGACGTGATTTTGCATCTGTGCGGCACAAAAGGTGCTGCCCACATGCACTGCCGAGAAAGGAAGACGCTTTTCTGCTCATACCCTTAAATCTGAGCTTCTTTTGATCAGCATAGCTCGTGCGTTCACACGCGTGTGTGCTGCGTTTGAGCAAAAACTTCTTTGTTGAAATAACAATGAAAGCATAGAATTTCCCGACGCAGAAGAAAAATGACAAAAAAGCCCACGCAAGGAAACTCGCTCAAGCAGTGCTTTTCTTCCTCAAGATTCGCGGAATTTCCTGCATAAATACGATTTTTTTGTTGATTCATTTTTTTTAGCAATTGGAGAGGCTTGACAGTATTTTTTTTTTCAATAAATAATTAACATTCATTCCTTTAAATTTATAGAAGAAACAACGTTAAAAATTATCGCTGAAAAAATTAAAAACTTCCTGGTATATAAATTAATAAATAATTAAGCTTACAATTAGTCTACGTTTTTGTAGTTATTGAGATTAACACTTCCTTCAAGTTAATAACCGTTTAAATCTTTTTTAGTTGTATAGAATTATAAATTGAATTAATTTTAAAAATAAAATTTTATTTTTAAATTTGTTTATTATTCTGTTTTAAAAAATTAAATTTTTATTAAAATTAAAATTTTTATTTAAAAATTTTGAATATAATTAAATTAAAATAATATTAAATTTTACTTTAATAAGTACATGTATTATTGTTGTGACGGGAAATCAATTCATACAATATTACAACCCTTCAGTGTTAAATTTCAGATAAAAATTTCGATTTCAGTCATGAAATTCGTTTTCTCTTAAATTAAGAAATTCAAATTTCAAATTTTCAAATTTTGGAGGGACGAGGGACCCTTCGAACCATATTTTATATTTTTTATTGAATCTGCATAAGTCTAATTTCTCTCAGGAGAAAAAGGATAGATCTATTATTTTGCAATTAATGAAACTGATCTTAACGATTAGCGGCAAAAAATATAAAAATGTAGCGCAGGTGTGAAGCCAAATAATCTCGCCCTTTTCATGTCAACGGCCAAATTGAGATTTAATGAAGCGAAGCGACCTTAAAGTTAGGTGCGGTCGGAACAGGGAATACGACATCGAGCGGAAAAGCGCATTAGTCACCGGCGAGCCGGGTGTAATTCAACGAGAACTCGGTGCGACTGCCAAACAAACTTTCCGGCCGGCTTTTCGATAGCATCGAGTTGCCTCTGTTTGCAGAGCGCTCTTCTAATGTAAGTAAAACCGCAAAAGAAGTAATCCTGGGAGGTTACATAAAACTTGGTTGGATCAAGAAAGCGGGCGAGAAATCGCACATCTTGCTACACATATTGCCTGCCACTCTGGCAGTGCGCGCCAGGAAATTGCACTTTTGCGGCGAAAAGTGGCTGACGGGTGAAAACACGGGTGACCTCACAGTGACTATTACGTTGAAATGCGTATCAAGAGAGACGATAAAAATAAATTTGCAATTTCACACCTTGTGAGCATATGAAAATTTATAAAAAAAAAATCATTCACAAAGCGAAAAAGACAAAACAAATTTTATATTCTAAATATTTAATGAATTCATATTTTATTATTGCCTAAGGATGCTATTCAGGAAAATTATTATTATTTGCGATGGGTTTATATTTCTTATTCAAGTGTCAAAAAGCTCATTTTATTCTACAATTTTTATTTTTTT